AAGCCAGAGTAAGGCTTGGAGGATAGCTCTGTGCTAGTTATAAATGTCTAACATATACCAGAAGGCTGTGGGTTTGATACATACCACTGTAAAAACACCACCAACCAAAGAATCACAGCAAAATTAGTAACACCTTGGGACAAATAAAACAAAACACAGGTCACATTACACTTGAAAAGTGGCATACAGATCAAGTTTATATGCAAATATGTAAATCCACAACGAAGTACAGAAACCAACAATCTAATTTAATTTACACTTCAAAGAACTAGAACAAGAAATAAACTCAAACTAGCAGAAAGGAGGATAAAATAAAGATCAAACATAAAACGGATAAAAGCAGAAAAAGCAAGAAAATATAGTTGATTTACTAAAAATATTTTTCAAAAATGAAAAATTCTTATTTAAATCAACTTTTAACTGTGTAGATTAGTTTTTTAAATTCCAGAAAAGACAAAAGACAAAATTAAAATAAAAAATTAAACATTTTACCAGTATCACATAAGTAGAACAAAGAGTAACGAATAAATTAGAATGAATAAATTGAAACAATCTATCAAAAGCTAATAATGAAGAAATAGAGAATTAAGATAAGCTAAAACTTAGTTAAGAGGTTCAATCAGTAATCACAGATCTCTTACAGAGAAAAATCCAGGATTAGCAGGCTTTGCTAGAGATTTCTACCAAATATTTTTTAAAAAGAATATAAACATGAATCCTTCTGAAAATATTCCAAAATATTAGAGGCACACTTGAGTTCTTATTCTGAAGCCTGTACTAAAACCTGGAAGAGACACACACACACACACACAAAAGACCAGTCATGTATCCTTATACTGAACAAACAAAAACCCACCACACAAAAATGACCAACCAAATAAGTAAATAATATTTCAACAAAACATTAGCAAACTTCAAGAACAGATCAACCTTAGTATCTTATAAGTCATTAACAGAAAATGAACAAAAAAAGAAAGGCATGATCATCTAAACTAACATGGGAAAAGTTTTTGGTTAAGATTTAACACCCTATAAAAAACACTAAGTCAAAAGCAACTTCAAAACAACAAAAGTCACATTTTTACAAAACATTGCCTAGTATCAAATTTATGATGAAAGTCTGAAATCTTATTCACTAATATCAGGAATAAGGATATTAAATGATATAAGCTAGATAAAGAAAAAAACAAAACAAAAACAAAACAAAAAAAAAAACAACCACAAATGATTCTACTTGGATGAAAGTTACCAGGACCTGAGGGGACTCCAGTAATGTTATTATTATGGGTGTAGTTCCAGCTTTGCTGGAGATCTTATTTCACAATGATATGAGTATGCTTTAATTACTAAATTGTATGCACTGAAGAAGGATTAAAATGGTAAATTTTAGCTAGGCATGATGGTGCACACCTGCCATCCCAGCCTAGTTTGTGTGAGACTAAGTTCAATTCCCAGTACTACAAGAGGAAATGATTGTTTAAATTTCCCTTTGCAACCACCCTTTTCTTGATATAATAAAACCAACCAATCAACCAAACAACCAACCAGATTTCTGGGCCTACAGTGATTTCTTATTCAGAAGGGACAGAGTAGGTAGGTTCAAGATTTTATACTCTGAACTAGTTTCTAGGTTATAAAAATTTTAATACCACGGTAACATTGGCAATCTCTGGCTCCCACTTCAAAAAGTTACTGCTTTCAAGAATTATACTTTAAAAAACTGACCAATGATATGTCCTTTTTATACAAGTCTTAAAATCTGTAGAAGATAAAAAAGAAACAGACAAAATAATAAGTTGGAAATCATAAATCAGACTGAGAGTGTTAGGTATATTAATATGTATTATTACCATGGTCTTTTCTAACTTCTTGCTCTTGTCAACATAGACATTCATGTTCTCTTACCATTCAATTTAAAATTAGTACTTCAATTATTATGCAAATTTATTCCTACAAAGTGGAGGAATTGTAATACAATCTTTACTTCTAGAGTAAAAAAAAAATTACATTGTGTCATCCAAACTAAAAGGCAGTAGCAAAGCATTGTGAATATTTTTAATATATCACTGACTGTATTTTAAAATATTAACTTTATGTTACATAAATTTTACCTCAAAAATAAGTCCAAGTGTCTCAATCTTTTTTACTTGTTTTTGACTCCTGGTCTAGATATTGATATTTACTATGACAAGCATTTAAAACTATATTTTCATATAGCATATTAAAAATCTTACTAAGGCCTACAAATTGAGCACAAAGGAACAAGGCACAAATGAGATATTCTACAACAGGGTCTTTTTGCTACAGAGATGTTAGTAATAATCACTGATTCAACAGATTCATAAAATTATACCAAGTGTCTTACCAAATTACATTCATACTGAAATAAACTAAAAATGTTCTCAAAAACCCCTTAATAAGAGGAAAATTTATCTCAGAAAAGGGAGATGCTAAAACATGAGTTTTAAGAACAAGTTCCTCATATGGCTTAGTAGTTACTAACCACTCTATCACTTGTAAATTAATAGGATCATCAGTTTTGTATCTAAGTAACAAAAAAATTGAAAACAATTAATAAACATCCTGCATTCCAATACTGGTAAACAGAAAAAGATTAAACTTACCAAAATTGCACACATATTTTCCTCAATAAAAAGTTTTAGTTTAGTACTGATATCAAATACACTAAACATTTATTAACAAGAAAATATTCTCCTTTTTATTTGCTTGTTATTCTCAAGTACACATTTACAATATTGTCACATTTTCTTTTTATGAATTTCTTAAGTATTTTACAATGTGTACTGAGGAAGACATATAATAATTTTTAATAGGCAATTTCATGAAACAATAACTTATGTTGTTGTAAAACTTTGTACCATTTTAGAACATTTAACTGAAACATCAACTTTTTTAGCTTTGCTATCAAATTTAAGAATTAAAACCAGCCTGTAACTAATAACAATATATACCAGTAAGTACAATTTCATGTTTTCTTCATACAAATATATTTTATCATATTCATGTGAACAAAGTATTATTACCTTTTAAAGGTTTCAACATTGTGTTTTAAAAAACAAAAATATGTACGACTCCAGACTATATGAGAAATATGATGTAAAATGTTGTGTTCTTTATCTTTCAGTTTATTTAAAAAACATAAATAACCTAGTTATGTGTATTAATTTTTTATGAAAGTTTTTAAATTCCTAAGTTTAAATTTTCATTTAAATATTTCCTTTTATATTATTTCAGGAAAGTCAAATTCAAAGGAGATTTAAAAGGTTAAGATTCTCACATACCCCAAAAAATAGGGTTTTCAAAAACAGTATAATGGCTAACACTAAAATTGAGTGGAACTATATGTAGAGAAGAAAGAAGGCATAAGAGATTCCAAAATCCATTTCATGGCTTCAGCTGGCATTAAGCTTAAATTCTTAGGGGACTAAAGAATTTGAAATAACAAACATTTATAATCCTATAGATGTAATTTCTGAATGTGGAATGACAAAGAAAGGTGAAAGTTACATCCAGATGGTAACAATGGAATGAAACACCATAATGAAGCCAGGAGGCAGCTTATCAAATGGGGAAAATTTCTTCTCGTCTTCCACAAGGTGCCACTAATGTGTCAACAGCTGACTTAAGGAACCTACATACTACTTTTGTTCTTCAAAATTCATATTAACCAAATTCTAATTAACGGAATTAATTATTACACATGTGCATAAATGTCACTGACTGCCAAAAAAATATATCAACTAAAAACCAAACCTGAAAGAACTGGTGATATCGAAAGGCAACAGATTTTCAATATATACTTAAAATACTTTTTATCTTCTAGTCATTGAAGTCAACATATATTATAAATCTTCAAGACGGCCAACCAAGAAATAAAAAAGCAGGAGGAACTTACAAACTCTTAAGTTGCAATCAGCATTCTCTTATACTACTTCCTCTTGGTCCTACTTTCCTTGCAAAGGGATTGTGAGAAAAAACTAAAATATATATATCTGGATTAACCTTTGAGAAAAAATTTAAGTCTGAAATTTATGATTTGAAAATACTCTATCTAAAAAGACCTTAACTTCCATTTTTTGATTACTGAAGTTAAATAAATACCTTCAGTTTTACTAATGTTCTTATTTTCCCCTTCTAATTCTTTAGCCAAATTTAGTTTCTCTGAATAGCAAGAATTAAAAATGATCTCAATACAACCCTAAATCTTTCATGTTATTATAAATTTAGCAGTTTTCATCACAGATGTAAATTTGGGAATTTTTGCATAAAAGCAATAAGTATCTAAAATTTAGGGTACATTACACACCAAGTTGCAAAAAATTGTAAGGGCCACAATTTACCTCTAAAATACTGCACAATTCAGGCTGCACCAAGTCTCATTTGTAGAACAGGACCATTACAAAACAAAATAGCAAGAAGAAAAGAAACAAGTTAACAAGGCTATGTAAAATTCTTTTGTAAGATTTTTTCCAAAACTTCTTTATGCTGCAAAAAAGATATAAACACTACGAAAAATAAAAGGTCAAAGGTTTCTTGGGAAGCACTTTCTGCCTACTAAGCAAAATAAAAATTAAACAAACCTAAATCAGTGTTCCACAATCAGCAATGCTAGCAGCTCAAATAAAATGTTTCATTGTCAAGTAATCTGAAATGATTTCCATATCACACTAAGAAAGGATAATAGAATAGACTCTCCCACTTTCATCAGCAGATGTCTCTAATGTGAAAAATATGTGTGAAAACCAATGAGTCAGAATCATTATTACATTTAGAGTTACCATCTTAAATTATTTTGTCTTAGCAGAGTACCTTCACGGTGAATAAGGTAAACAAATGAACAGTAAATATTTGAATACTGAAAATCAGTATTGAATTAAGGATCACTTTTTAAAAAGCAACTTGTTTGTTGCCACCTTTCCTCATTTATTAAATAAACTGAACAGAATTCAGAACACTCTAATGAATAAAATGTAAGGAAAAATAGAAGCAAAAATCATGTTTGTACGTAGCATAAATCAATGTATATGGTATTGTATGAGAACAAGAATGATAGACTTTAAAATGGTTTTCCTGTTACATGACCAACATCTGTAGAAAGTCTGTGAACTTATTAGGACAGGCTAACTTCTTTGTGATGTCGCATTATGTGCTGGTTCTTTTCCGAAGGTCTTCGGAAACCTTTCTTGCAGTACTCACAACGATGAGGATAGTCTTTTGTATGAATGGAAATAACATGCCGTTTAAAGCCTGAGGCATCCGTAGTGCTATACTCACAGTACTCACACTGATAGACTTTCCGGCCACTGTGTGTCTTCATATGCTTTTTAAGCTCATTCTGTTGCCTAAATCCCTTTCTACATCTCTTACACCTAAATGGAAGGTCCTTTGTATGAACTGACAGAATATGGCGACTTAGTACAAATGGATCTGCAATTTTAAAGTCACAATGTCTACACTGGTGCATTTTTTTACCCTTGTGGGCAGCCACATGTTTCTTGAGTTCYGAAGGCCTGTGAAAGCCTTTATCACACATGTCACACTTATGGGGGTAGTCCTTCGTGTGAACTGAAATTATGTGTCGCTTCAAATCACTTGAGTTCGAACTCTTGTGGTCACAATGCAAACACTGGTGTGTTTTGCTTTCTTGGTGGATAAGAGCATGTTGCTGCACCTCTTTGGTATCTGAGAAAGTCAGAAGACAAATGTCACACTTGAATGGCATCTCTTTACTATGCTTAGTTTTTACATGTGTTTTCAAGTTAGAAGAGTCTGCAGATCTATATTCGCAGTACTGGCATTGGTACGGCTTCTCGCCAGTATGGATTCGCATGTGCTTTTTGAGCTCTGATGGGTGCCGAAAACCTTTACCGCACTCTACACAAATATGAGGAAAGTTCTTGCTGTGGACTGCCAAAAGGTGGCGATTCAATAATCCTTGTTCAGCTGTCTCATATTCACAGAATTTACACTTGTGCATTTTGTTGGCTCCTTTTTCCTTATGCACCATTTTGTGAGTAAACAAAGCCCCAGTGTGAGAGAAATGCTTTCCACACTCATCACACTCAATGACTTTCTCTACCTTGTTGGTCAATTTGTGGCTTTCCAGGTGATTATGTAAACTTATCTTTTTGTTGGTAGTGTAATCACAGTCAGTACAGCAATACTTCTTCTTGGCAATGTGTTCAGGATGGTTTTTCATGTGTCTTTTCAAAAAACCTCTTGATTTAAACTTCTTCCCACAAATCATGCAAGGGTAGACAGTCAAGGGATGTCCATCAGGACCAATAATTATTGCTAAGGGAAAAAAATAAAATAAAAGAACATAAGAGATCAAAATCTATCTGTTGTATTTTCTTCAAAACATTAAGTGTTTTCTGAATATTACTGGGCATGGACTCCTACCCTTATGGACATTTCTTTCATTGCTCTTCTACATTAGAAACATTGCAACCTTACAATAATGAGAATGTGGTTTGCTTCTTTATGACCATACTAATCCTAATCCTTCCAGTTTAAAAAATGAACAGATAAATTAAGTAGTGATAAAACTACATCAACTTATAAAGAAATCTGTTAAAAAAGTCATTCATGAATAAAGTTTAGCATTTTTAAATTTATTACAATAGGTGATTAAAACCAGAAATAGTTAATCACAGAGACATATCCCCAGCTCTTTTTGAGATAATGTTTTGTTAAATAGCAAAGTTAAACAGCAAAGACCTTGAACTTGTGATCCTCCTACCTCAACCTCATGAGTGGCTGCCAGTAACCAATCTTTAAAACTTTTCTTTAGGCTGATTCCTCTGGAGCTGCCAGTGGGAGTGCTGCCGCCGCTGTTTATTACAGCTGCTAAAGCAGCTGCAGCCCCTGTTCCTGGGCATCCCTCCTGGGCCCTCAACCTCCCGCTCCGCACGAGCAGCAGTGGAGAGGGGTGTCAGGATGAATGTAGGCACAGCACACAACGAAGTGAACCCCAATATGCAGGTGATGAACAGCCGTGGCATCTGGCTCTCCTATGTGCTCGCCATTGGGCTTCTTCATGTCGTGCTGCTGAGCATCGTCTTCGTGAGAGTACCTGTTGTCTGGACCCTCACCAACCTCATCCACAACATGGGCATGTACATCTTCCTGCACACAGTGAAAGGGACACCCTTCGAGACCCCAGACCAGGGCAAAGTGAGGCTGTTAACCCACTGGGAGCAGATGGACTATGGGGTCCAGTTCATGGCTTCTTGGAAGTTCTTCACCATCACACACATTGTGCTATACTTCCTAACCACCTTCTACACCAAGTACCACCAGATCCATTTCATCCTCAACACTGTGTCTCTGATGAGCGTTGTCATCCCTAAGCTGCCCCAGCTCAATGGAGTCCACATTTTTGGCATCAACAAGTACGGAGGGTGCAGCCCCTTTCCCAGCCTGGGGTGGTAGGTGTTTGCTGTGATGCTGAAGACAAGGAGCCTCTGGACTCTGACGGAGATGGGGATCACTCCTCTGGGCCTAGTTCCCCCCTTGATTCCCCAGTAGCCGACTTGGAGTAGCTTGTAGTGGGTTGGGGTGGGCCCCTGGGCTCTAACCCATTCTAATTTTTTGATTCTTTCCTTTTGCCTTTTGAATAGACTCTATGGGGTGGTCATGGAAGGGGCTGGGCTCCCCGGCTGAACATGGACCTAGATCTCCAGCGTTGGGACAGGAGGCAAGGGAGAAATCCCTGCTTGCTTGTTTACCCTCAGGCAGCCAAAGCACTTTAACGCCTGTGAGGGAGCAGAGGAAGGTACAGCTTTTGGACTGTTTCATTTTGGTTCTTCAGGCTATAGGACGACAATGTATTTTTGTACTTATGGAAACAAGTGTGTGACAGTACCTCACCCCTCTGGGTAGAATGCTGTCTGATCCTAGTCCCAGGCTTTTGGTGGCTCCCCTGCACCCCACTCTGGGTGCTGGGTGGGAACGGGGAGTGTGAGAGGGGAGGTGGTGGTGGGGGGCATACATGGCCTGGTTCTGGAGGCAAAGGGCGAGGGCCCTGCCATCTGATCCCAGTGGAGTTGGAGAGAGGGCAGTGGTGGGTAAGGGTGGGGTAGTAAGCCGAGTCTTAAAAGAATGGGCCTCAGCAGTAGCGGACATGTGTTGTAAAAGGGGAGTGGGCAGAAGCTAGTCCCACCTCCTTCTTACGCAGAGAATGGTCTTGGGGAGAGGTAAGGGAAGTGGCTGGGGGTTTGAAACTCCTGGACTGGTGTGAGGGGCGGGCTTGGGTGGAAGAGGCTGTCATTGTTAGCACAGGTACAGTTTGACACTGACCTCTGTGTGGTGTGAAGGTGTGAGGAAGCTGCAGCAAAAACAGGGGACAGTGGGGCCCTTCCATAGTCCTTCACCTTATGACCTCCCTGTTCAGACTGGTGCCAGGCAGGGCCTTTTGAGGGAAGGTACTCATGGGGTTCTAAAACCACCTCCACTTGGTGGTGGGCTAAAGAGTCAGGCAGGGTGGTGGCTGCAGCCACTGTCTCAGTCCAAGGAGGGAGACAAGAGGGGCTGGCTAGAGAGTAGGCACCTTCTCCTCTCCCCAGTCCTACTGGGAGCATGTTACATTGAAAAGGTTTGAGTCCCCAAGCCCTCTGCTGGGGGGCCTGAGGGAGGAGGAGAGTTCACTCATTCTGTTTTCTGCCTCCTATCCCATCCTCACCCCACACATCACAGGGAACTTTCACCTTAAATCTTTCTAAGCAAAGTGTGAATAGGATTTTTACTCCCTTTGTACAGTATTCTGAGAAACGCAAATAAAGGGCAATATGTTCCTGTTAAAACAAAAACTTTTCTTTAAACATTAAAATTGGTATACAAAATAATATAGCAAAGAATAGCAAAGAGGTTGACATCTTCCCTCCTCCTTTAAGCTGACTATCATTCATATTTGTTCACTTAAAGTTAACTAACATAGTTATGATTTATTTTCACTTATGGTAAATCGCCTGAAACTCTAATTAATTTTCCTTGATATCTGGTCCACAGACTGTTCTTTTATCTAAGGAAAAATTCATGAAAATAATTTGAGTTTTGAAATTATATTTTCAAATTCAATACACAATAGCTTCATGTAGCTGAGCAGCTAATATGGCATTATGACACTCCTGTGGATAAATACTATTTTCCTCTGAGAGCTGCCCAGCAGAGTTTGCTATACTGTGGAATTCATGTGCTCCCACCTGTTTGGTACTGCTTGGAATCAGGTCTTCTCCTTTTCTTTGGTTTTTGTTTAGCTAGTCTGCTAAGGCCAGCAGACTCATCTATGTGCAAGAGGGCACTTGCTGTGCCATTCCGGTTTTCAATTCCATCAGAATTATTACCTAACAATGAGCATTAAAAAACAACATTATAAAGTACTGTGAACTACAAAGAATTTGGAAAAAAAATGATTTAATTATAATGAAAATTAAGTCATGATGCTTAAGAATTAAAGAGATTTGCCATTTCAGGAAATAGTTTTCTGGCCAAGTTTTAAGCAAGACCACAGCATTTTTCCAACAGACTCCCTCTGTTGTCTTCCAAATTATGAAATAATAAGCCATATAAAATAAAGCAATCTGAAAGTTATGAACTTTTCATATGCATGAAATCATAATACCATTAATTCATATTTCTGAAATCTTAACCACAGAATCCATTTCTCATTGTACAAATATTAAAGAACCATTCAATCCTTACCATAAGCTGCTGCCCATGCAATTGGCATGAAGGCTTTCATTTCACTGTCATCTATCTGCTGTTCATGCACAGCAGCAGCTGCTGCTGTAACAGCAGCATCTTCTTCTCCTACAATCACTTCCATATAAACCTCATCAGTGATCTCAGCAACATCTAAATACAAATTAATAAAAATGTTTTATGAGTTTCAACTCATACATGAACAACATATTAGCAGTTTAAATACAGCAGTGAATATTCAACAAATATTGATTGAACATTCCGTGGATTTCACCGTATTTTATTTAAAGCAACAATCTAAGCATACATTAAGAAACACTAATATGATGTTTGGGTTAATGTTAGCATAATAAATTTCTTTAAGTATTGCTGATCAAATACTGGTTGCATTAAAAACAAAACAAAAAAAAAAACCTTTAGAAACATAAAATTACTTCCCACAAAAAGGCCACCTGCTTACTTAAATCTTCATCTTCTTGTTGGGAGTCATTGACAGTCATATAAACCATCTTTTCCCTGGGAACACGAATACTGCTGTTCTGATCAAGCAGTTCAACTCCATGATCATTCTCAGGCTCACTCTCCACAATGTCTACTGTTCCACCTATTAAGATAAAGACAGCTCCAAGAATTTATTTGAATCCTCATTTGAACAGGCTCTTTTTATATTTTTATGTAACATTAAAATATGTATCTTAACATTTTTCATAGAACAAAAAAAAAAAATACCCACTCCTAAAATAAAAAATAGAGCAATTTTAAACCAAAAAAAACAATGCTGGAAGCATCCTAATACCGGACTTCTAATTATGCTACAGAGTTAATTATACTGCTAAAAGCTGTTTGGTACTGGCATTAAAAAAAAGACAAAGAGCACTGGCACAGAACAGAAAACACAGAGACAAACACACCCATCAAAAGTCATCTGATCCTTGACAAAGGTATCAAATATATACACAGGAGAAAAGACATCCTGTTTGATGTCTGGTGATGGGACAACTGATTTATCCCTACGTATAAGAATGAAAGTAGATCCTGATCTCTCAACTTGCAGAGAAAACTAATCAAAATGGATGAAAGAGCTCAGAATTAGACAAAAACTATTTAACTGCTACAAGAAAATGTAAGTCAAAACTTCAGTTTTTAAGCACAATGACATTCTCAATAGGAATCTTAAAGCTCAAAAAATAATAAATGGTATGATATCAAATTAAAATGCTTCTTCATAGCAAAGGAAACAATTAGAAATGTGAAGAGAGAACTTAAAGCATGGGAAAAAAAAATCTTTGCAAACTACTCTTTTGACAGAGGATTACCATAGTATGCTGACACAAAAAGCTTTACACCAAAAAACTAGATCAAATAATCTAATTAGTATATAGGCAAATGAATTAAACAGACACCTCTCAAGAGAAGAAATACAAATTAACCAACAAATATATTTTAAAAATTTCAATAACATTAGCAAATAGGAAAATGCAAATCAAATCACATGAAGGGACTGGGATTGTGGCTTAGTTGGTAGAGTGCTCAGCCAGGTATCCAATAAGAGATGAGTGAATAAAGAAAAAGTGATACGCATACACAATGGCTTTTTACTTGGCCACAAAGAAAAATGAACTATGACATTTGTAGGAAAATGGATGGAACCTGAGACCAATACATTATGTGGAATAAGTCCAACTCAGAAGGTTAAGGGTCATATATGCAGAAGCTACAGATGACTGAGGAAAAAAATAAGTGAGGATACATCTCATAAAAATCAAAGGAAATCAGTAGAGGGAGTGATCATTGAATAGCACATGGAATGAGAGGGGGAAAATACTGGTGAGTGATACTCGCCAAATTACATTTTTAAATTGTGTGCATGTATGAATATTTAACAATATATTCTATCAATATATACAATATAAAGCACCAATAAAAAATGTGGGGAAAAAGTCTTAAAAAGTATCTTCAAAAAAGATTTCAAATTGTCTTAGTTTTAAATAAAACCACTATGCTGAAGAATCTGAAGCCTTCCTCTTACCTAAGTCATCCTCACCAGGGTCAGCTTTAAAAATGTATACCTTGATGACTTCAGGGCAAGTGCCTTCTACTTTACAAGAATCAATATCTGACTCTGCATTCGTATTCACAGCAGTGGAACCATTATGTTCTATTTTGCCAGCATCATCCACTACAGAGGGAAAAATATATCACAAACAATTAACAATATGCTTACATAAAATATTGCCATTTTTGTACAAATAAAATATAATCTGATTCACGTAAATGTAAATGATTTTAGCTAGACAAGTATTAGAAGCAATGAATACATTTTAAATGACTTCTAGGAGTGGAATAAAATATTAAAAGTATTTCTTATAAATCCAACTTCTGGAATTCACAAACCTTAGTAAACACAGTACCATCTTATACATTCACTACTTCTGAATACAACAAAACATTTAAAAATCAAAATATGATTATCAGAAAGATACATTGCCAGATACAAAGTGAAGAATGTATCTATAATGACTGAACTAAAGCTGTGGTGATAGCAAAGATTAAAATTCAGTCTTATTTTCAACGGTGGCTTATGAACACAGAAGACAAATTTTGGAAGCTTTGAAATATTCTTTCAAATTCCCCATCATGGTCTTTTTTGGGAGAGGGGTTTGTTCTTTCTTTTTTTTTGGAATTGCTAAATGAACCTAGGGCTCTGCGAGTACAAGGCACAATTCTGCTGCTGAGGTATAGGGCAGCTTCCCCTATATCACAGCTCCCCCATCACTATCTTAAGAAGCACAACTAAATTCTATTATCAAAATTCTTACATAGCTTACATTACAGATGAACTTATTCTGAAAATTGACTGAAAAGCATAACTACAGTGACACTTAATTTTAAATTTCTTACTCATTAGGAATAAAAGACCACATGCAAACAATATATTGAATTTTTTCTTTACTAATTTTTTCCCCTACTAATATGATAAAATCTAACTACTTCAGTTTAAATGCAAAAATAGACCTAAAAATACTGAGCCACTAAAAAATTAAGATTTGGTGGTGGTGGATTTTCTGACACACTAACAATACTTATATTTGCAAACCCCATTTTAGCACACATTTGGTAACAATACTGAAATATCGCTTAGGAATATACTAGTTAAATTTTTTGTACAATTTAAAATTTAATGTGTATATGTTTATGCTGAAATTGTACTCTCTAGTGCAAACTCCTAGCCATGTGAGACCAGAAGTAGACTCAGATGTGGAGTTATGGACAATATGTTTTGTAAAATACTACAGTATAAAAAAGAACTGGACCAATGTCAGAGTCCTAGAAATCTTATAATTTTAAGAAGGAAAAGAAAATTCACAAAGGAACCCATGAAGAGAGAGCTGGAGAGGTTGACAGAAGGGTGGGAAAGAAGTTAGAAACCTTGAAGTCTTATTTAAACCTACGTAATAACAGAGCACAAATAGAAATCAAAGAAGAATATACAAGTTAAGGAAACTGTAAATGACCAGGCATCAGAATGTTCTTGAAGACAAGTAGCATACAGAAGCCATATGGAGGTTATTAAAAAAGGTAAGGTGTAAATATTTTATAATTTTTTTCCCAGGAGATTATATATATTTCCCTCCAAGACTAGGAAAGGAACCCAGAGCTTCTTCCAAACTGGGCAAATATTCTACCTCTGATCCATACCTCCACTCCCATAATTCTAGTTCTAAAAAGAAGAAGAAAGAAGTGTGACTAGAATAGGTTATAGGGTCAAGACAATTTAGTAAACTATTGCTCTTTGGGGAAAATATAAAGGCTGATTTAGTGGATGTGGTAAAATTTCGAGGTAAAAATTTTAAAGGAAATTGGAGAAGGTCAAATTAGAGCAAACATAAAGGAAAAAAAAGACTTTATTCTTTTGAGACTAAAGGTCAGAAAGTACATATAAATGAAAATATAACCAAGTTATTTTTGAGGGAATAGCAGTATAAGAATTTGAAATGCAGAAAGCAGGAAAACAGTTTTAACAACATGTATACAACAAGAAGCAAAGGCTAACCGAGTAGGTAAGTGAGGGAGAAAAAGTTTTCTTGAAGTTAAAAAAAAAAAAAAAAAAATCAGCCTTTCTGATTACAAATAAAACATATTACAAATAAAACCTTTAGGTATCCCTCAACCCTCAACTTGTAAACTATCAAAATGCAAATAGTCTTATTACTATGTTTTATAAAAATAATTCGAGGGCAGAAAACAGGAATCACATCCTAATTATGATTGATATGTACCAGGTTTTTTTACTTTTTCTAAGTTAAATATATTTATGCAATCAACTAAAGTTATTTTTCTCGAAGATCTGAAATTCCAAAGTGAGATAGCCAAAATAAATCTAATTTCTCCAGATATCTCATTTCTGAATAATATTAATGCATATGAAGCTGGTCTTTCTTTCAAACTTTATAAACAATGACTGTTAAGAGGTACTACAAAATCAAATTTCTTATATTTACAAGGTCAGGATGGGTGGATGTGCTTATAAAGTTAAAAAGTTTCCAAGTAACTTGAAAATATCTTTTGCAAATCAAAAGTATCTAATAATTTTGGGACCTGAAAAAATGCCAAATATGTAACCAGTAGCCTGAAGTAGAGATCTTTCTGGTAAGTTCTTTTTTAGTATGTAAACATATTTCAAATATAAAACTTACCTGAGGATGACCAAAGCTATTCTAAGAGAAAAAATAAAATTCACAATAAAAATTGCACTTTGAAAAGGTATAGCCCACTATTTTATTTACTAAATTATTCTAAATATATTTGATTTAAAAAGAAAATGTGAGGTGGCCAGGTACCACTCAAAATTTATAATTTTAATAATTCTTATAAAGCTGAATTACACATTTAATTTTTTAATTTCTAAAAAAAACCCCTGTCTTTTAAAAAAAATACAGAAAGCAAAAACTAGAAATTTAGAGGTAGGCCATTACAAAAGAGATGTTAGTTCTAGAAATTAAAGTGGCTTATAACAACTACCTGTACATGACATTTAATAACTACTTTAGTTTTCTAAATATTTCAGTTCACTGTTGAGATATGTGAGATAAAACTTGGGGTGGTGTGTGATCTCTGTAGAGTTAATAAGCTGCTAAGTAAGGGGGAGTAGACAGAGGATTGTCTTTAGAAGTAAGCTTTATTGGGTTAAGTTTAACTTTACTGGGTGATTACATCACTTCTCTGCTTCTGTAGAAAATAAATCACAATTTTACTGAAAAAAAAAAGAGTTGGATTTGCATTCAAACTGCATATTTTCTAAGTTAATATCCTAACCATTAAATATTTTCCATTTTAGTCTTCTAATGAATGACAGGGATTGTCTCCTCATTTTATTTACATTATCTCTGAAAATCATATTTTTGCTAAGGATTAAGAAGTTATTAATGTTTATTTACTACCACCCACCCCAGGAAAATAGTTAATTATCTAATTTCTCTCTTCTGAAGCTCTGAAGCTTAGTCTGTCCTACTGTTTAGTACATATACATTAGTGCTTCTTTTCTCATAAAGTTAAAAAACAAGCAAAACCCAAAATTCCTACAGGAGCACAACTAAAAATGTATTTCAGTGAAAACTTGTCTTGCCTTGAGTACTCTTTCCTTGATATGACATTCTTATGTAAGGAACTATTTTTAAAAAGAAATTGAAGTGAACTCAAATTTAGACAACTTGAACACTGAAAGAAATAACACTATTTAGACATTACACTATGCATAATACAAACAGTAGAAAAAAAATGAGTTGTTTAAAAAAAAAAACAATATACATTATGGACTGATTTAAAATAATGTTTAAAAAAGTAGGTCTCATGCTGGGCATGGTGGCCCACACCTGTAATTCCAGCAGCTCAGGAGGCTGATGCAGGAAGACTGCAAGATGAAAATGAAAGCCAGCTTTAGCAAGTTAGCAAGGCCCCAAGAAATTCAATGAGACCCTGTCTCTAAATAAAAATAAAAAACAAGGGCTGGCCAGGATGTGGCTCAGAGGTGAGTGTCCCTGGGTTTAATCCCTGGTACCAAAAAAAAAAAAAAAAAAAAAAAAAAAAAGAAAAAAGGGTAGTATAGAAAATCCCTTTCAAATTTCAAAACAAAACAAAAACCTTTAACCTACACACATGTAAACTAAGAAGTTCAGTAAATCAAAGATGTCACATCCAGTATTGATTACACTTTGGTAAACAAAAATAGAAATTCTTAAAAGCAGCTAAACCAGATAACAGTTATTATATAATATTTCAATAATAATAATAATAGCTGACTTCTCTCAGAATTGAACTTTAAAAAAAATTGAAAAAAATAGCAGGAGTAAAATTAAGACACTTTACTGATGATCAAACCATAGTAATTGAAACTATAAATATTTGCTTAGAGACAGACAACTGTTTACATCAAGGCTACTTGAGACTAATTCTCAGTTCTCATTTGACTTGCCCTGGAAACTTAAGGCAAAAAATACTTTATTCTCATTCCTGAACACAAATTAATATATGCAATTCCTTTCTGAAGTAATGCAGGTAGGTTTATCAAGATTTATCTTAATTTTACAGAAGTTTAAGTGAAAAACCTTCAACTATTATGTAATGAGGGAAAGCATACTTTTAAAAACACCTTTGAATCTGGGCTTGGTGGTGCACACCCATTACCTCAGCTGCTCACAAACCTGAGGCAGGATGATCAAAAGGAAACTTAGCGAGATTCTATGTCAAAAAGGGATGGGGATATAGTTCAGTGCTTGCCTAGCATGTGAGGCCCAGGATTCGATCCTTAGTACCAGAAACAAAAACACCTCTGATAGTCAGCATACACCAAGACTTACAGGAAATCATAAGGTAATCCTCACAGTTGCTTTTGTCATCATCCTGGTGGTCCACAGGAATTCCATTGGCATCTATGACTGCTTCAGAGGCACAATCTGCTACTAATACTTCTGAAACTAAGTTAGTCGTCAGAGGATCAGTGACAATTTCTGCTTCCACTTCACTATCATGAACCACATGTTCAACGTGTCCAACATTGGACATGTGTATAGATTCACTTGTCAAGACGTGTTCTGGCATGGGCATTGAGGTTGAAGTAATCTCAGATGGTAAAATGTCATCGGGAACTGTGCAATGTGCTAAAGAAACTTCTCCGGTTACATCTGAATCAAGTACTTGCTCAGGAATGATGACACTGTCAGATACATCAGCTTCCTCTAAAATATCTGAGCACTGAACATCCTCTATAACAACATCTTCAATGACATCTTGGATTACAACAGAGTCTTGTACATCAGGAACAAAGTTATGCACAGTTATGTCTGAATTAGAAACAAAAACAGTTTCTTGTACTTCCACAACAATTTGATCACCATCCATGTGTGTAGAATTAGTTCCTTAAGAATAAAAATTAAGACAATAAATTTCAGGTGAATAGGTAGGATTAAAAGTCAAATAATTTTTACTAGAAAACAGTCTACCTTCTCTGTGTTCCTCAAACACTAAAATAAACTAAAGAAATTAAGAAGGGATCTATTTCTAATTCATATAACGAGTAAAAATTAATCCAACATTTTTTTTAGAATATAAACATGAGAAATTCCCCATGCCACTGAACCAAAATCTTTTAAGAGATGACTATAATATATACAAGTAGTACAAATCAAAAAATAAATATACCACTGTTCTTCATTATGTTTCCCTTCCACTGCTTCTTTTCTCAACAGATAAAAATTTTCTTCTTTTTACACACACACACATTTTTTTTGTTTACTTTTATTTCTTCTATTCTACAATTTCTCCAGTTTGTTCTTCTACAACATACTATCAGTATCTATTTGGCAACGACAAAACAACACTTTGAATCTAAGCTTTACAAAACAATCATAGTAGGAGTGAAAAGTGAGATAGATCACGAAGCAAGAGAGACAACTGAGAATAAAACTGGTTGGACAAATAAATGAACACAAGTGCAGCTGCCTAGAGATAGTAGAGGTGAGAATAGCTGGGATGGGGCCTACCCCAATTTCGTCAGTTACTGTTTCCATCTTGCCTATTCTCCTATATTCCAGACCAAAAATCCCAGAGTAGTTCCTCAGAAGATAAAATCCTTATATCCATTCTGTAGTTAAGAAGGTAGAAGAGCAAGCCATTGAAAGCCCACAAAGATCAAATGACTTAACCATGATCACAAAATTTGCATAGCATATGCAGCTCAATAAATATTATTCTTTATAAATTCCACAAGTAGAAGTCATATCTTTACCAAATAATGTAACAATAATTATAAAATACACAATACAAAATACTGGGTATTATGGCTCCTAGTCCAGAGAAAGGCAAACATAGGAGACTTGCATGTGAAATACTCAGATGATTGGCACTTTGGGTTTTAACTCAGATTAGGACTGAGTCCAAGCAAGGGCCTAAATGAAAAATTCTGTCAAAGGCAATGGCATCCAAGAAACACAAAGCTTCTACCATCAGATTGCTGCCCTGACACATAGATCAAAGATCAGTATGTCCAAAACCCAATAGGTTATATGAAGTTTTCAAAGTTAGTTAATGCACACTTAAATTATATATATATATATATATATATATATATATATGTTATAATAATGAAAAATGTTTGCTTTTATTTCTATAAAATTTTTACAAAATGTTTTTTTAATGGTATGAAGCAACAGATCAACGTTATCTCCATTCTGTAGACACAAATGTGAAAGCATTAAGTGGCAAGTAAGTATACTAGCAACAGTCTAAATCAGAGGATAGGGTTATAAAACTAAGTTTTGTGATGAGAGCAAGTACACAAATGAGGACAATAGTACCTGCCATGCGTATCTCACAGTACTGTGGTCATAACTAAATTAAATGGGAATGTATAGAGGTGTCCTGAAAACTGTAATGAGTTTTGTAATCATTATTATGAAATTAAAAATGTAAGTTTTGATATATTAAGCGCCATACTAAAAAATAAACAAATAGTCTAAGTGTTAACCACCTGGACTAAAAATGGCATAGTCCTTTAAACCCTACCTCTTAGTCCAAGTTCCAGGTCTGCATGGGGATAAACTAAGCTATCAAATTAACTGTGAGGTTTTTCTCTAAAGAACATAGTCTCTTTTTTAGGAAAATTAAAAGTCAATGTATTTAACATGTGGGAAGAACACACAAATGTTTGATGAGTAAAAAGAAGACAACAAAAAGAATAGTCCTCAAAATATATCCATATTCCAGTCCTAGATACTGTATATGGTAAAAAAAAAATTCTGCTGTATATTTTAAAGAAATAATCATAACCTTTACCAAACTGAATTATCAAGTGTGAATTAAAAGACTATGCCAAATTGTTTAAGACGCACACATACAGAGAATATAGAAAGTATATTAAAAATCCCTAGGTTTCTTGGTAAAGTAGTACTGTTTTAATATACAAACATAAACCACTTATGATTCAATTAATAAAATCATTAAAACCACAAAGTACGAACAATAAAATCTAGTATGCAACAATTTAAATGTTACATATTCAGAATGCTTGTTAATCTGAAACTATGAACACATTTTGGGGAAAGTCAGAAAAAGTCCATCTACATAGTGTGTAGTCTCCTTTTGGGAATATATAAAACTCAAAAATTGTAGAAGTAGGAACAATTAAAAACAAAGGATCAAAAATTATTTACTGGCAACAAAGAAGAAAGAAATGATATGACCCAATGCCCAAACCAAGAGTGAAGAAAATAGTTCCAACACTACAGATGAAGAGTGAAAAAGCAAAGCCTGGGTTATGTTGTAGCAACTGGTTAACTGGCATAAAGAAAAGGTGGTGTGAATAGTAGATTTTTCTCATTACCCCATCAAATCAACCTGACTTCCTCCTACAAAAATTGTTCACAATATAGCACTAAATCCTACTTTAAACATCACAGCTGTGTCTCAGATCTCATAGACTACCAGTGTAGCTCAGTTCATAAACTAAAATTGACTATTCTGGATAATTTGAGCCCAATCTGATAAAATAAATTGCTTTTAAAAGCAGAGAACTTTACACAAGTGGAATCAGAAAACTGAAGGAGAAGAGTAAGTCAGAGGGATTTCTAAGTATGGGAAAAAACAAATTTGCTATTGCTGAAGTTGCAATACGGAAATCATTAAGAAACACAGGCAGACACAAGAATCAAAGACCTACATTTCAACTGACAGCTATCATAAGAAAATGCCTTCAGTCAACAACCAAAATTAGTTAGAAATTCATCCTCAGAGAACTTGAAAGGAACCTGACTATGTTGACACTTGATTTCAGTCCCATGAAAAAAAAAAAGTAGATGATCCAGCAGGCCTTCATGGAATTCTGACCTACAGAAACTATGAGAAAGTTAATACTGTGTATCAAATGACTATGTTTGTTGGGGCTGGGATTGTTTGTGGCTCAGTGGCAGAGCGCTCACCTAGTATGTGCGAAGCCCTTGATGCCATCCTCAGCACTACAAATAAATAAATAAATAAATAAATAAATAAATAAATAAAGTGGAGGTACTGTGTCCAACTACAATTGAAAAACAAATATTTAAAATAAACATCACACACACACACACACACACACAAGCTTCATTCTTTTGAACATGAATGCTAACAACCAATAGAATCTAGAAGAAAGAATGGATCAAAGTATAGAAATCCTACAGGAACTCAGAATCTGTGTATACTATATTTCCCTATATAAACTCAGAGCAGAAATCTAGTCTTTGAAAAACTGTTTGTAAGGTCTCAAAAGGAAGGGAGAACCAGCTTACTAAAGAGCACAGAAAGAAGTACAAAGATCTTTATTCTGTAATGGCAGACCTTAGAGCAAAATTTTGTCCTATAATTTTATGTCAAGTATAATTTTAAACAATAAACTCAGATATTTAACTCAGGAAATTTCAGCAAAATGTTGAAGATGTGGCCTTGTTTCTTCCTGCTGTTTATAATAAAATTCAAAAAGAAATATTAATTGTGGAGGGCGCCATTAAATAAAGTCAACAGAACTCAACAATTTGGGCAATTCTCTCAGCTTATACAGGTGGGAGAGGTAAAGAGAGAAATTTCATATTAAGATGTGTTTTTAGAAAAAAGATGTTTTATACAGACATTAAACTAATTTAAAAATCATTGTAGATAAGCCTCTTTCTTAATGCAAAAAATATCCATGACACACAAGAACATTTTATTCCAACAGCAATACTGCTACCTACTATTGAAAGGAACAGAGAAAGTACAGTATGAAGACTACAGGATTCCCAAAATTTCAGGGACAGAAAACAGTGTGGAAAAATTATTTGACTACAGTGCCTGCTATATTTGATGAAAAAAATAAATCAGATTCAGAAGGAGCCACAGTCTATAAAAAACTATTATCAGGCCTAGAAATACAGAAGGTGATAAGGCAGATTTCAAAATTTCTTTATGCTGATGACTCCCATTTTACCTTCCATTTCACCCAGTTTGCCTCAAACATCCTAATCTGTCTTATCACTGTATGTCAGAAATAGTTCTTTATAAAACTTTAGTTCTATAGGTCAACAAATGAAGTGGAACTGCATCCTACATGTTTTACTTAATAACTGATGCTGGTTTTGATGTTATTAGATACTTAGCACTTATCTTATTTTGGATTCTATTTTCAAAATAGGAACCCTGGAAAAAGGTCAATGTATTTAACATCTGGGAAGAACACAAAAGTTTGATGAGTAGAAAGGAAACAACAAATAGAACAGTCCCCAAAATATGTCCATATCCCAGTCCTAGATACTGTATATGTTATGTGATATGGTAAAAGAAATTCTGCAGATCTGACTAAGGACATGAACCTAAGATTGGGAGATTATTTTAATGGCTCCAATCTAATCATCTGCACAGTTTTCTGGCTAGAATTAAGGTGATGTGATATATGGACAGACCAGAAAGATTCAAAGTGTAAAAGAAAATATAATCACTATTGCTTAAGTGAGCCACACACAGAGTACAAGAAGGAATAAGGACAGCCTTTAAGAGCAAAAACTTATCCTGGCTGATATACTGTATGGAGGAAGAAATAGGTATCTCTCCCTTATGACAAAAATTAATTTGGTCCAAAGTATACTTCTATTATGCAGAATTCTGATATATATATATATATATATATATATGCTTTGTTTTAGTTTAGCGAAACTGTAAAAAATGTACTACTTACTAAGGAAATAAAATTAACACACTTAGAACACTTTTTAACAGTACCTAGAACAACTGGGAAAATTAGAAAAAACTGAAGTTAACAATAATATTTTAATACAGACAGCATAACAAAACTGAGTTGGCTATGAGACTTTGGAAGGATTACAGGGTATAAGAGTATGAATCAATATCAGATTATTTGGGAATTCACCCTCATGACAAATAACTCTAAACCTGGGAGATGAGAAATAGAACAACCCAATATTTATACCTATTCCATCAAAAAATGAGTTTGGTTCTTGGGGTTGCAATTCAAATTCATCTTCATCCATGGCCTTTAATGCTCATTAGTCCCAGCTCCTAAACCAAGGAACAAAGTATACCCAACATTAATTTTTTGTATCACATGTTTTTTGTTTCACATGGTATTTACATTTAGAAATGTCCAAATTATTTGATTTATCAATAATCTATCAAGACAAAAGAAAAAGACACAAAACATTCTAGAGATATATACACCAACTATAGAACAAGGGCAGCTCAAACAGGTGAGAATGTTTTGGGTTTTCAAAATTTATTTTAATTGTGATGTTACATAAAATATACAAAACTTAAGTTTAATGAGTTCTTACATGAATTACTGAGAATATACAGAACATTTCTTACATACACACACACATACACACACACACACACATATACACACAGAGGCCCTGTTGCCTGCAGCAACCCAAGGATTAAGAATCAACACATTTTATGACTATTGAAGTAATTGCTATAAAACTTCATTACATGTTTAAATGTAATAGAATCTCCAATCTTGTGATCACTAAATTATAAAATGGAAATTTAAACTTCCCATTAATTATAAATATTTGAGATCTTTGTAGCCAATGATGTCTCTTAAAATGACCTTCTGATTACAGATGTGTATATATATATATATATATATATATATGAATATGTATTATTGTATTTTTGTAATTTATTCTTAAGGTTAAATTTGAAACGGTACCAGCTATAAGGTAGTAAAAATGAATTCACATTTGAGCATAATAAGCTCAAGAGGCTTATCTATAAAAAAAAATGTAGAGAATCAGATGTGACTACATTACTATTGCTGTCCTTGGGAGGGCTTGCTCGCAAATGAGGGGCTCCTTCAAGGTTTAGATAAAGTAACAGTGGACATGCTTGAAAACGAGATGTTTGCTGTCCCTGGGAGAGTCTGCTCGCAAACGAGAGGCTTCTTCAAGGTTTAGATGGGTAACAACAGACATGCTTGAAA